ACCCAGACCCGGTTACGGAGATAGGACCTGTTACAATTTTATGGGACTACACAATACACACTGACAGAACAATCAAGGCCAACCGCCCAGATATTGTTATTAAAGACCACAAAAAAAAACGGTGCTTTCTTATTGATATGGCAGTCCCTGCCGACTGCAATGTATCTTTGAAGATATTCAAAAATTTGTCAAAGTACAAGGACCTTGAAATAGAAATCGCGAAAATGTGGCATATGGGAACATCAACAATCCCTGTTGTAGTTGGAGCCCTAGGACTGGTTGGAAAAGATTCCAGTAGACTAATTGAAGGGATTCCTGGAAGTCCTTGCCTCAAGGAGATACAGAAAATTGTTCTGACAAGTACAGCCCACACCTTACGAAGGGCTTTATCTATGTAATCCTTTTTTTTTTTTTTTTTTGTCAGTGGAAAGTGTCATGACGCCATTTCTAACCTTAGGTCCCTGGGCGGGACCCGGAAAGAAATGTGTAAATGCCAGAAATCAAAGAAAATAATAAAAAAAAAAAAAACAATAATTGTACACCACCTGCACGCTCAAGATTAGTTCACCCACCTGTGTACTGACCGGGCTAGACGTTATTTATTGCTAGTCCTCGTACGCGAACCGGTGATTCAACATGATGTAGCCGTAATCCTTTTAGTAAAATGGACAAAAATTTGTCGATTTCAAATCTTTTCATTTGTACCACCTTACTTCTTAAAATAAAGTCCAGCATTTATTGATGTTTACTTCTAATATTTTTATAAGTTGTTAATGATATAATAGCGGAATTTGTATGGGTTTTTTATTGTCAATAGAACACACCATGTAATTACTTAATCATTAACTTAAGAGTTAAAAATTAAAATTCATCAGGAAATTTATATATAGGAAAACCGTGAAATATTCACGTGTCTTTCTAATTATTATTATTATTATTATTATTATTATTATTATTATTATTATTATTATTTCCTTTGATTTCTGTTGTAGATTGATTTCTTTCAGGGTCCCAACCAGAGACCTAAGGTCAGAAATAGCATCATGACGTATTACGTTGAACATTAAAATTCCAAACTTAAGGTCACCCACATTTTACATAGATAAAGCCCTTCGAACAAGTGTTTGCCTTTCTTTAAGGCTTGGTCTTCCATGGATCCTTTTAATGAATATATCGAAAACTTTTCCAATAAAAGTGAGGGTTCCAACTACAACTGGAATTTTTGATGCCCTCACATTGCCACATTACTGAGATTTCGATTTCAAGGTGCTTGTCATTGATAGTTTTTTGAAGATCATCAAAGATGCATTACAATGTGCAGAGACTACCATGTCAATAAGAAGGCATATTATGTTTTTGTAATCACTGATCATGATGTCTGGGCGATTATCTTTGATTGTTTAGTCTCTGTCTATTGTAAAGTCCCATAAAATTGTTACAGGTCCTATGTCAGTAACCGGAACTAGGTGGTGTTTTCCATTTTTCTTTCCGTAAAATTGCATATTTTCCAAATGCGTATTGCCCACTCTGTCACGCCGGGTTTTATATTCAATGAGTGGCAATGCTGTTCAACCTGATACAAGATGCTCAATTATTTCGGAATATTTATCACAGAATTTGCATTTTGGGTTAAGACAAATTTTCAGTATGTGTGCTTGGTAATTTCTAGTTTCGCAAGCATTGGTCTTTTGAAGCAAAAATAAAACATTCGGTTGCAGCTTTTAACCCAGCACTATATAAACACTAATGTGAACGGGGTTTGTCTACAATAGCTTCTTCGGCGCGGGCAGATAATTAATTGACCATAAAGAGGCTTATCTTGCTACCGTTTCTGCATTTGGTATATTGAATTTGCTTTTGCGATTTTTAGGTTCTTTGTCGCTGCATGAGGCGTATCATGGTTTACTTGCATTCCTTCATCCACTTGAAATTCTCTTTTGAATTTCTTTCTGGCTTCCTTTGTTACTGAATAAATATTTCTTATTTATTATCTTTGACTCAAAACATCATACATTTTTCTGTAGTGCACAAGTACCTTTGAAGACCGATTGTTGTGCTTTTTTAGACAGTTCTAGTTGAGTAAATCCTATTCGAATCTACAGACGATCAACATCAGCATTAGGATAATGCATGCGGTGGCAAGTGAGAAGCTTTCTTGTTTTGATATCCATTAACTTAATATCAGCTATGGATTAATTAAGGATGTTGAAACAGTACTGCATCATAGGAACAGCCAAAATGTTTATTGCTGATATTCTGTTTGTGAATCCATGTCGATATTTAACACTAGACGCATACGCTTGTAGTATACTTTTCTTACATTTTCTTTTATTTGAGCATGCGGTATTCCATCTCCTTCGCTGATTCCGAGGTATTTATCGTTTTTTGCTTCTTTTTTTTTTGTTCCAGTTCCCTAATTGTGACAAAATTCAGACCCATTCAGTATATTTCTGTAATTCTCCCTTTCTTGAATGTTACTTTTGTACGTATCTAATTCGAAATCGATACGGATGTAATCACTGAAACATTGTACATTATTGAGGATATCTTCCAATTCATTGTCGTCTTTGACAAAGAGTTTGATATCATTCATGTGGGATAGGTAATTAAACACTTTCCTTTTTACTTTGTACACATGTTTACTTCACGTAAAATGATATTAAGGACAGACGAAACGGAAGGGGGCGAGAGGGAATTTCTTTGAAAGATTCCTCGTCGGATCCTCAAACAACTGGAAGTGGCCGTACCATTCGCATGATTTAGAAATAATTATGTTTTTTCACTATTTCAAGAAATTTATATATATAAGAAAAATTGCTATCACTGAGGAAACTTTGTACAATTCAAGAGTGTTGCAGTTTTTTCTATTTTTCTTATTCGTTATTCATTATTTATTAATGTTTATTTCATTATATGCTGTTTATTATTATTACATTTACTTCTGCTTATGTGTGCATTCATAATTTGCTGATTTGTTTATGGTTTATTCAATATATTTACTTATTTAATGGTTTGGATTAATCTGTTTTATTTATTTATTTTATTTTATATATTATTTGTTTTCATTTACTAATGTTCATTTTAGATTTTTAAGTAATGTAGTACAAATCAATTTTGGTATTTGCATTTTGAGATGAATTCTGACCGTTTATTTAGCAGTTTGTGTTGCCTAGGAAGGTAATTATTTAGTAATTTGTGTTGCCTAGGAAGGTAATTATTTAGTAATTTGTGTTGCCTAGGAAGGTAATTATTTAGTAATTTGTGTTGTCTAAGAATTTTATTTCTTCCTTCAAAAAGTGTTTACGGTTTGTGGGTTTATTTTTTCCGCTGTTACTGTTTACCTTATCTTCCATGATATTTTCGGTGTGTTTTTTTTTTAAATTCTCCATATATGCTGGGAAAATATTCTGCTGTCCGCGTATTTCCTATTTCATTAGAATGTGTGCGTAGATTCTTTGTTTCCAAGGCACTACAGTTAGTTCGTTATCTGCTGATTTTGCAGTGGCCTGGTATATAACATTTTGCTACAAGCAATTTACTGTTGTACATTTTTATTACTTTTATCATGTCCTTGGTGCAACTGTAGCCGATTTCTACTGTATTTTTTGTTAATATCTTGTGGATAGTACTTGTTTGATGAATAATTTTCCTAAATTTGTTTTTACGTTTTTGTCGTGTGGTGGTTTGAATCATTTGGTGTTTCTTTGCCTCTACAACTTCCTAGAAATAGATTCGCATCACAACACTATCAACTTATAGACTAAAATTGTTTGGGTGTTGACTTCAGTGTGCACAGCAACTTGAGAAACAAGAATGCCCACGGGACCGACATCACAATACATCGTGTCTTGCCAAATCCTACTGCTGGTTTTCCTCCTGCTTTTATTGGCATGAGGCATCTTACAAAGACCCGGATCTTGACCAGTTGCAGGGAGGCACGTATCTAGACATGAAAAACTCTCACTATTCTAACGAGAAACACCCGGATGTAAATGGCGTTGACAAACATCCGCATGCGACCGGAGGCCTACTTTGCGTGTGTACACTCACGTACACCCACAGAGACACGGGCACATATACAAACAAACACACACACACACAAACACACACACACACACACACACACACACACACACACACACACATATATATAAACTGATTTAAAAATATGGCCCCATCGCTACACAGAAATTACCATGTTTCAAAAACAGAAACTAAAAACATCAAATTTAGTTATATAATTAAATTTAAGGCCCTAGTTCTGTTTCATTTTCAATATTTATGCTCTGTAAATCTGCATTGAGCACTGTTTTGTAAAAATAAAAATATTAATAAGAACACCGGATTATATGTCTTACTGTTCTTTATTTTATTATTATTATAATATATATATATATATATATATATATATATATATATATATATATATATATATATATATATTGTCTTCAATGAAAACTCTGTTTCTTATTCAATCCGAAAATGACGATAGATGGAGGACCACTTGTGACCACCAGATACTGCAAGTAATGACAGAGGTCAAGCATGATTTGTGTGTTAACGACCCTGCATGTATCTTACCATGCGTTTGAGATAAATCATTTTATCTGAAATAAATCATTCTACTTATATTTGGTCCAGTGCCATATTAACCTGTTCCTCGTATTCAGGGTTCAAATAGATCAACGTATTGTCTCTTAATCCCGAACTAAAATCTTTACAGCTAATTATATTGAACATGATAATAATAATTATTCTTTTGCTTATAATAAAATTTAAAGATTATATACTAAAGTCTGTCTTCTTATTCTAGTTTAATATTTGTATCGATACCTCATGTTTAAAAAAAAAAAAATTTACGTACAAAGAATGTTTGAAGATTATATTCTACAATCTGTCTTATACTAGTTTAATATGCTTACCGATGACTTATATTTGAATGAAAACATTATTTGCGTACAAATATTTTTCTTCTAAACATTTTTCCTTTAATTATTTAGGTGGAAAAACAAATCCGCTCTTGCCCAATGGTAAGTTGTTTATTTTATGTTGCTAAATAAAATCTTTCTTTTATATAATATATTTTAATAATTATTATTTATTAATATCTCCGATGAAACATTCTACGTTGTATTTCATTTCATGATTATGACCTCCTGCCAACATTCTATTACCTGTTCAATGCATCGATGGTAGACATCATTATGTTACGACTCGTAAATTTCAGCAAGTTATGTTTTAATCTCTTTGCAGTTGTTAAATGCAATATTCTTCAAATTATCAGAAAGTAACCAGAAAATGTTTTAGTCTGAAATGGCTAATCTAGGAGATTATGGTGAGTTTGGCAGAATGTCCCAAACGAGTTCTTTGATTGCCTTTTGGTTATATTAGCGACACCGTGGAAGCATTGTGATATTGAATAACTAAACTGTGTCGCTGATCAGGCTTTTTCAGCTGAATTTTAGTCTGTGGGGGAAAACGAATCCTTGTCTCATTATCACTACTTTTCATTAAAAGGAATACGTATTTGAAGGGAAGACTTTAAACTTTAAATTTATATATTTCTGGTTAAGTAAAGTCAACATACTAGCTATTTTATTTTTATTTTCCAGTTTCTTTTTGCAGTGTTACCTGTTAAATATTCTTGATTCCACTGGTGAGTGAGAGCGAAAAATGAGAGTAAGAAACAGTGAAGGAGGGAGAGAGAGAAAATATTTTGAACAGAATATGTTCGTGTAATAGGATAAATTTATGAACACCTCTTGCTCTTCTTCTTTGTATATCGACATCAGGCGACAGGTCTTTGTAAGGATGTTCTGTTTCCTCGGTTGAATCTTGAATGCATCAACGTCAAATGTCATCAGATAGGCGGCATAGTTTTCTGTTTCATTTTTTTTCCCCGTCCTGTAATTAACATAACTTTGTTTCCGACCGTTTCAGATTGTCGTCATTTTCATAGAAAAGAACTTATCGAGTTTGGAGGAAAATATTATTATCTTTTTTTTTTCTATAGTAAAATGTGATTACATTTGGGTTCGCTTTTTTTTCCAACATTATCACCATGTCAGCATGTTATTCCACCCACTTTCCATGATTGCTCAACCGAAAAGGCGCATTACAAATAATATGCATATATTATTGAACATCTTTTGATATTAGTACATATACATTTGCATGGATTATTTTTATAGGGGAATTTTATAGATTTAATAGTAATAGAAGAAACATATTAAATGTTTGGTTTGATTTGTCAAATTATAATATATTATCCTTTCGTTTCTCGGAGTCTGAGATTTCATTGCACTGGTTGTATCAAAAATGTTAACGGGTAAACTTGAAAAAAGAAACTGATAAATAGAAAGATAGCTAGCATGTTCACTTTGCTTAAGCAGAAATATATAAATTTAAAGTTTAAAGCCTTCGTTTCCAAATACGTATTCCTTTTAATGCAAAGTAATGATAATAAAACAAGGATTCGTTTATTTTGCCCTCAAGCGAATTTTTTACTTAGAAACAAATGAACAGGCTCAAATTCAGCTGATAAGGCTTGACTCGCGATACAGTGTAGTTATTCAATATAACAATGCGTGGGTGTCTCGCTCTTCCGGTGGATTTTCTCTAACCAACTGTGTTTCCTATTTTTACCTGAAGAAATCATGAGCAGAACAGTTTGAACCAACCTCAGGAGTGAAGGGAGCGAGTTACAGGAAAAGTAAAGAAGGACATGATTTTCAGAACAGAAAACCAATTCTTGTTTCGATAAACAAAAACGTAGAATTGAATTCTCGAGAATTCTTCTTCGATTATTTACTGTGTATCTTCAGAAATTAGAGTACCATAGTCCTCCATAATTTTCTGTTCTTTGTAGCTCTTAGTAAATGTTTTTTTTTTTATAGCTATTAAACCATGGTCTGACAACCATTTACTCAGTCTAGGTTGGTTATGTTTTCCTCTGTCTCCTCTTCAAAAGTTCCTGTGTGTATTAAATTCTCTAAGCACATTTTCCCTACTGTTTACCATAAAAACATCAGCTGTTACTTTCCGATGTTTGGTATGCACCTTTTCTTTCCATTAGCTCTACAACTTCATCGTTACTTACCTGTTCGGCCCATGGTATTCTCAGCATCTTTCTGTAGGAAATATTTCTGTTACTTCAAGTCTCATCTTCATCTGTGATGAGATTGTCTTATTCCAAACACATCGCTCCAGCAGCGAAAATGTTCATTGGGCGTTGATTGAGCAATTTAAAAATGGAACTGCTTTCGCGCCTGGAAACAAAATTAGGTCCCGAAACATGGCCTTTATTCCATTGTAATGGAATATTCCATACTTCCTATCGTATATGTGGGCTGACTATAGCGGTAGATATATATAGTGATCACAGGATATATTTGGCGAACTTGCTTCGGGAATTACTAACCTGTTATCCGATTCCCTGTCTTTCCGTAGTGTATTCTCTTTTACAATAAACCTTTCTTTTATCTACGCGCGTGTTGTTGTTCCTTTCACGCGAGTACTACCTTTGTCTATTTGTAACCTTCTTTAAGGATACAACAATTTCTTTTCTCGTTTCATCAGTCTGCAATGAAATCTGGATAAATTCATCAAAGTCTGAAGATCATTGGGGTGTCATTCTCTATTGGTCATTCATAGTTGGTCAATGTAGGTGACTGCTGGGCAACCGCCCATCTTACGCCATGGTTTCGTGTTCAGAGCAATAGATCATGATTTGCTCACTAGCAGTGTCCTTTCGCCTCAGATTGTAGAAATATCAGGGATGGGTCTATATAGCCGTAATTTAGTTGAATATTGTCTTAGAGAGATGTTACGCATAGCTCTCAGCTTCCAAGTTTCTATTCCATCAAGGTAAATGCCTATAGTTTTAGTTAATGTCCAAGTGGTGGCACAATATATTAAAACCGCCTCTACAGTGGCGTGAAAGTAACTCCGTTTGAAGTTGTCTGGTGATCAGATTTTTAGATTACATCCATTTTTTAAAGGTAGCACAGGCATTAAATATACAAATTTTCACATCCGTTTCAGTAGAATTTATTTTTCTTTAGTTTATATAATATCTGTGAATTAACAATAGTTGTTGGATAATTTTGTTGAGTTATTCCCTGTCTCCTTCTCGAGAGTTTTAAAGTATACTTTCCATAAAACTGGATGCTGGAAAGAGTCTAGTCAGCTTTGTTATTTAATTATATTGAACCCTTAGGCGGAGAGAAGAGATTGATTCATGCTTTACCGAAAAGATATAGTTTTAATCTTGCTTGGTCCCTGACTATCTTCCTCGCAAAATAAGCATTGTGGAGGGATCGATTTGGCCTACGATGATACGAACATGCGACAGATATTACTGGGTGAAAAGATAATACGAACACTCGTAAAGTAACCTGGTATGCCAAATAGTATCTATAAATAGGAGTCTGATTCATTCATCTGATGAATCCTGGAGAGCACAACGGCCGAAACGTTATGATAATGACAACAAAGTTGAATGATTTTTTTTGCAGCTTATCGACCTATTTGTTACTTATCCAGTAAAATTTAATTTCTCTACTTTAAAGTAGAATTTTAAGATATCAGAAATTTTTATATTAATTATAATTGCCTGTTCTCTACAGCATCCATCATGTCTTGTTCAGTGGTTTGCCACTTTTTTTCTTGAACATTTGTGAATTTAGATGTTTCCTATTGCATTCTAATGGATTTTAATTTCACAGTCATCTTTTCCATAGACTAAGTACCACTTTAGAATAGACAACCCACTATGCCCTATTATTTAACCTTTTGTTGCGATGTGGAGAAGAGATGGATTTCTCAATGGAATTTGTGCGAAACTGAAAGCAACAAACTTGGCAAGAATTGTAACTCGGCTCTCTGGTTCCATTTTTCCGGGCCGGTAACAGATATGCTAGTCGGATATCCTCGCTCTGTTAAATTTTCGCTGAAAACCCCACGTCTCTGGCCTTGGCAATTAACTCAATGAAACGTTGTAAATATCTCTATCGAAAGCCTCGTAATGTTAATATTTATTATTGCCAAACACGTAACCAGAAAAGCGTCTGGTTACAGTTTCTGATGTCGATGGCTTGCTGCAAAAGAAAAATTAGTAAACTGGACTATACACATAGAGACTAATATTTTCGGCCTTGTGCCACATAAAACTTACGCTTGAAAAATCAACATCGACTGGCACAGATAATGAGAACATTTCCGTATAGAGATATTAAATATTGACTCTAAAAATATAAATATTTTTATTTTCGGCAATTTTGTTAATTTCAGTTTCTTTAACATTTCTCCCCAGACACGTGCATAGAGTTGAAAACGAATCACTTCAGATTCGATGAATACTGGTGGTTTATGCCGAAAACAAGTTCGTTGTTTGACCTCATGAAAAATTATACGTAAGTTTCACTGTTTTTAAAAATCAAACTCTAATTTAAATTCTATTCAAACTTGCCTTAATCATCGAAACTGTTTGTATCATTCCGAACTACATACGAGTAATTAAATTTCTAAAGAAGTAACAGATTATTTTTTTATTTATTAATCTAACTAATTTGAATAGACGATCCGTTTATCTATTAAACAGTATATTTATTTTCGTCTACCAGCGTGAATATTCGAGAAATCTTATTAAAGTGCAAACTCCGGTAGAATTTGAACCTTAGTCCACTTGTGCAGAGGAAAAGCGCCGTAAGATCTGACATACCGACAAAGCCACAAACGAATCTTTACGGACTATGTATGGTCCTAACAATGGCTTTAAGCGAAATCTTTCTCGTCGTAGATTACTTGAAATTATTGTTTCGTCTCCAAGCGTAAACAAAGTAATTTTCTGAAGTATTTTTTTCATTTATTAATCCAACAGCTTGTTATTACTTTAAAAGTTATTTTCACTGGATATGCATACTTTAGTAGACGCTCCATTTATTATGAAAAATGTATATTTATTTATTTTCGCCTACCGGCCTGAATATTTAAGGAATCTTATTAAAAAAAAATTGGCCACGAAGCAGTTATAGAGCCTAATATACTTCACTGCACCAGACGGAATTTGATCGCACAAAAAGGCTCATCAGCCCTTTAAAAGGTCTTCTTTTTAATCCAGTTGAGTGTCTAAACGAAAATTAACCGCTCCGTCGTACATTTGTTATAAATATATGTGCACGTCACATTAATGCAAACATACTGTTGCATACACCTTCTCATCCGGGGAGAAATTTTGGTTGACGGAGTCGAATCCACAACAAAACTGCATTCGTATATGTGGGATAGCTTGGTGTAACGCTGTGAT